CTTAATATAGCTTAGCACTTAATATCTTAATAATAGCTTTTCTTAGAAGAATTATTATAACTTTTACTACTAAAATCTTATACTTATACTTATAATATAATAGATTTTTAATAATCTCGATTTATTTTAAATTATAAATATAAGTTATAAAGAGATTTAATTAGCTAAATTTAATAAATAGAGTAATAATATTTTAATAGAATTATTTTATAAATTATAGATCTCTTTAATAGAAGAAAGAAAGAATAATATATTATTTATTAATCTAATTATTTATAATAACTTTATTAATATAAATATTAATAATTACTTAATAGATATTAATTTAAATAATCTTTTAATTTATTTTTAATTAATAAAGTTTATTACTTTTAATAGCTATATAGATATTATAAATAAAATATTATAATAATTTATCGTAATAAAGAAAGTAATTGAATTTACTAGAATAACTTTATATTATATATTTATAAGAAATTAATAATTAATAAAATAGAAGAAATAAATAAAATAGATCTATAATATAAGATAAGTATTATTTATATAAAATTATTTTAATTAATAATTTCTCTAATTTATAAAATAATTTTATTATTTCTATTTCGCTAAATAAAAAAGCTTCTATTTAATATAATATCTATATTAAATATATTATTATATTATAACTATTTATTAAATAAGAAGATAAGAGAATAATATAAGAATATATAGATTAAATACTAATATAAAATATTAAATCTCTTATTATTTTAAGTCTTTATTAATATATCTCTAATCTTAAATATATTTAATAGATTATTAATATTACTCTTTTAAATAATAGCGATTTTATTTAAAGTAGAATAATTATAAGTGCGTAAATTATAGTATTATAAATTCTTATAAAATAGCTTATAGCCCTATATATTCGAATTAATTTTTAATCTTTTAAATATTAGTTTAAGAGCGTTAATATAGAAATTAATATTTTTAAAAATTATAACTATTTTATAATAAAGCGTCTAATTAATATAATTATAATAATTATATCTAATAAAGTTAATATAGAAAACGCGATTAAAAGAGAATAATATTATATTATAAATTAATCTTAAATATTATTTATAATATAAATTTAATTAAAGATTTATTTTTCGCTTTTTAAAAGCGCTAAAATAAATATATAAGTAGTAATTATTTTTTAGATTTTATATATATATATAAAATAATTAAATAATTAATAATAATTCATTATAAGATTATAAAGATTATATTATTATATTAAACGTTATAATAGCGAAATTCTTTATAATTATTAATAAGATTTAAGATCTTTAATATTAAAGAGTAAAGAATTTAATTAATAATATACTCGTTAGAATTATTTAAATTATTTATACTTATTTTAATATCTTTATAATCTTATTTTATATTATCTATCTTATTTATTTTAGATATATTAATTTTAATTTTTTCGCTATTATAATATTACTTTATTTTTTTATTTTTTTATAATACTATATTATAATAATTATAAATTTAATTTATAAAATCTAAATTATATTATATAAGTTTTATAATATATAAATAATACGTAATATAATTAATAAGTTCTATTAAAAATTAAATAGAAGCTAAATAAGAGCTAGAAGATAAGTTAAAAAAATATAAATTATTAAAAAAGTTATTGTTAAAAAAGTCTATTAATAAGTCTTATAATAGAGAGTTTTTTATATTATCTTTCTCTTATTTAAAAGCTTTTTTTTAATAATATTTAGAATTTAATACGCGTTAAGAGACTTTAAAATAGAGTAATAAAGAATAGATTAAAGAGAAAGATGCGTTTTAAGAGATAGTATCGCTAAGTTAAAAGATATTTTTATTAGCTTAAGAAAAATATATAGAAAAAAATATATTCGTTTAAACTTTTTTTAAGAATTTTTTAATGCGTTTATAAGTAGTAGTAGATAGCTATTAAATTCGCTTATAGTTTCGATTATTAGTAATAGTAGATTTATTAAGAGATAGTTTAAGAGCGTTAGTAAAGACTCTAAAAGATGAATAAAAGGGAAGTATATATCTAAAGCGTTTAATAATATTTCTACGAGGAATATCGAGAATAATTATATTTATATTAATGAAATTAATAGAATTAATAAAGTAATAAAAGAATAATAATTATATAAATAGATAGAAGAATTATTATTCGATCTCGAACGCGTTTAATATAACTATAATATTTAAATATTAATTTAATTTATTAATAATAGATTAAATTTTATAAATTTTATATTATTAAAAAGCGTAAACTAAACTCTATAATTTATGAAATTATAAAATAAAAATATTTATAGAAAGCTAATTAGTTTAGAGTATTAAACTTTTATATATAAATTTTTAATAAGAAAGTTTAAAAGGGCTAGCGGGCTAATTTAGTTAATTTAATTAAAGAGCGTAATAACTCTAATTTATAATTAACTATATATATAAATTTAAGATTTTATAGCTTAACTCTATCTTATTCTTTTATATATACTAATATTAAAAAAATTAAAAAAAGTCTAAAGAGTATATATAAGATATTTAAAAATAATTTAAAATTACTATTTTAAAAGAGTTATAGAAGTATATAAAGTAATTAATATACGCGTTTTAAAGATAAAGATTAAGATTTTTTTAATATAATTTTTTTTTAAATTAGATAATTTTTAAAAATTAAATTATAGAAAAGATATATTTAATAATTAAAAAGAATAATTCTTAAATTAGAAGAAAGATAAGAGAAAAAAGAGAATAAAAATAGAAAATAAAAGAAATTTTAAATTTTAAAGATTATAAAGCTTATTAGTTAAGATATAATTATAAATCTAAATTAAATTTAATATGTTTAAAAGATATAAAAGCTAATGAGAAATTAAAGAAGTAGAAAATAGATATTATATTAGAATTATTATTAAATAAAGACTTTTAAATAGATAAGAATATTAATATAATAAGAGAAATAAAAATTAAATTAAAGATTTCTTTATCGAAAATTAATTAGAATTATAAATTTCGCTTTTATTTAAATATATATAGAAAAAATTAAATTTATATATTTTCTCTATATATATAAAGTATTAAATATTACTTTAAATAGCTATATATATAATTAAAAAAAGTAAAATATTAAAAATATTTCAATATTTTATTTAAAATAAATAGAAAAGAGATAAATTTTAATAAGAGAGATTGAAATTAGCGATATATTAGCTATATTAATATTCTTTAAAAAGATAAAATTAATCGCTAAATAACTTATTTAAATAAATCTTCTAAATTAATACTCGCTTATAAATATATAAATATATAAATTAACTCTTTAAAAATAAATTAAATTATTAATTAAATTAGAAATTTAAGAGAGAAGTTAAAAAGTTTAAAATATAAGTATAATAAAAGAATTAAAACGTATTATAAGATAGCGAAGAAAAGAAAAATAAGAGTTTTTATTTTAATTTAAAGAGATTAGATAAGATTTCTTTTATAAATATATAATACTTATACGAGTAGATTTATAAATTAAATTTACAATTCATTTTTTTTAATTAGAGCTATCGAGTAAATCTAATAAGCGATCTTTAAAAAACGATCTTTAGTAAGCGATATTTGACTTCCTTATCTTCAAAGAATTATAAGATCAAATTTTATAAACTATTTATATTCGAAAAGCGTAAATTGCGATCTATATTTTTAAAAGAAAATATTAAATTCTAATAGAAGATAGTAAAGTTATTAAATAATTAAAAGTAGAGAAAGAGATTTTAATAGTTACGAATGTTAATTTATTTACCCGCGATATCTAATTAAAAAGCGTAGCGAATTTAAATTTATAATTAATTATATATATAAATTTAAGATTTTTTAGCTTAGCTCTATCTTACTCTATTATATCTATTAATAATAATTTATAATTACTCTTTATAATTTAAATAAAAGCGTATTTAAATAATTAAATAATTAAATAATTAAATAATTAAATAATTAAATAATTAAATAATCAAATAATTAAATAATCAAATAATTAAATAATTAAATAATTAAATAATTAAATAATTAAATAATTAAATAATTAAATAATTAAATAATTAAATAATTAAATAATCAAATAATTAAATAATCAAATAATTAAATAATTAAATAATTAAATAATTAAATAATTAAATAATTAAATAATTAAATAATTAAATAATTAAATAATTAAATAATTAAATAATTAATTATATAATTCTAGATTAGAGATAAGATAATAAATATATTTATCTATTATAATAATTTTTAAATAATAATAGTTTAAAAAGATAATTATAATTCTCTATCGCTATAAAAATATATATCGCGAGTTATAATTCTTTATATAATAGATTTTTTTCTTAATTAAATTATATTAAAAGTTTTAAATAATAAAATATTACTTAATATATAATTAGATATTTATGTAAAAATAATATATAAATTTTAATTAAATTAAATACTTAACGAGAATAATAGAATATCGCTATTACTTTATTAAGAAAAATCTATCTCGATTTAATCTTATCTCGTTAAAACTTCGTCTTAAAGCGAGATAATATTAAATACTTTAAATCTCGTCTTATTTTATCTTATTACGTAGTATAACTATTACTATAATAAATTTCTAAGTTAGATATAAGATAATTAAGATTTTATAAAGAAATCTATTAGAAAGTATTATCTACTAAGACGCTATTAAGTTTCTATCTTCTATCTCTTCGTTTCTCGTTTCTATTATATCTATAATAATATCGCTTATTAAATAAAGTTTTTATCTTCTTTAGAAATTAACGCTAATATATTATATTATCGCTATAAAGAATTATTTCGATATAAATAAAGTAAAGAATATTATCTAAACTTAAAGTCTTTTATCGTGTGATATATAGGGCTAGCGTAGCCTCTTATCTAACTTAGATAGAGCCGAAAGCTTAATGTATAGATCGTGGGCGGGAGGCTGCATTAATATGGACGGGGGACTGTGGGAGGGCGACTGTCCCGAGTTAAGTTGTATGGATATCGAGACGAAAGATGACAGTAAGGCAATGGCGCCACCGAGAGGGTGTCAGCATTACGCAAATTTGACCGAGATGCCGTGGGATATTCAGAAGTTTGTGTTATGCAATCTTGCTTTTTCAACCATAGCGTTACTGATAATATCTTAAACAGATATTACCATCAGCGATTTAGCATCTTCTCGAAATACGACGAGGGTATATGGATGACGGAAGATGCTTGGTTTGGCGTAACCCCGGAGCCTGTTGCAAGGTAAGCTATAGTAACAAAGTCATGATTTGAACGCGTTGACAGCTTTTAAGCACCATTGCAAAGCATATTGCCGGAGCTGCCTCTGCAGGCAAGGCTATATTGATCGACTGCTTTGCAGGCGTTGGTGGCAACGTTATCGCATTCGCCCAGTCTGAGAGATGGAAGAGAGTTTACGCCATTGAGAAGGATTCGAGAGCACTGGCATGTGCGAAGCACAACGCCGAGATCTACGGTGTCCGAGACAGTATATCTTGGTATGAAGGGGATTGTTTCGAAATTCTGAGGAACGAGCTCGCAGAATTGGGCCAACACAGCATCCTCTTTGCCAGTCCTCCATGGGGTGGTCTGTCAACTTTGCTACGATTAGTAAGACACGAAGCGTCGCTAATGAATGCAGGCCCAGGATACAGATCGGACACAGTCTTTGACCTCGCAAAGATGCAGCCTTACACCTTGACAGATGTCTTACATCCCTTCCAACAATTGACCGAAGACGTAGTTCTGTACCTACCGAGGACTTCTGACGTTCGACAACTGGCGAACAAATCAGGTAAAGGGAGGAAGACGACTGTGATGCACTACTGTATGGAAGGTGCTAGTAAGGTCGGTCGCACATACCGATCTGGCCCGTCCAAATTTTGACTAAACTATAGGCGGTCTGCGCGTACTACGGTGCTTTCGCATTTCACTGAGCATGCAAAATGCAAATGGATATGGAAGATGCTGATGACTAGAGGCTCTATTACGAGGTGAGCGAGGGCTGGTGCGCCTGGCGGGTAAACAGATCACGAGTGTGCGGGTGAAGAGTATTTGAGGTCGAGAACAGCAACACCGAGCTATCAAGACGTCAATTAATTTAAATACACAATCTTAACAGCATGCACTTATTACACCAATGAATGGAAAGTGAAATTAAGTTCAAGTGTGATTGGCATTCGCCAAATCTGAGACTAGTGTTATTGTGGAGACGGAGCTAAAAGGCTAATTATAAGCTTATTATTTAGCTGCATTCCAAAGTCACATCGGCCTCGGGGTATTTACAAGTAATAGTACAGACATCGCTCCGTGTCTGGCTTTACCCTTGAGTGCGAAGCAGAATTTTCAACAACACCTGTCCCTGTTTCCTTAGCTATCCTGTGACAGCATCTTTGACCTGGATCTGATCATCTTTCGTATGACATGATCGAAAAGTGATTCGGCACGAAGAAGGCGCGACCTATTGAAGCGCCCTCACTACACTTACATTCGCCGGAGGGTGAAGACCGAAGAGCTGCCATGCCTCATGCAACAGCGGAACACCATTCTGGCGATGATCATGATGACATCTTGATCCAGCAGGTCATCAATGCACAGACTACAGAGGATACTTTCGGCCTCAACCGCGAGCTTGAACCGGGTGAAAAGGCGGAGGATGCTGAGAACTATGAAGACATCAGTGATGATGATCTGGCGGATGACGAGGATGCGGAAGGGGAGCGAAGGTCTCGGACAGGGCATGGGAGTCAGACTGGTGCTTCTCCTAGAAGCCTGGAGGCGTTCACGCAAGATATCGACTTTCCGGCATTAAGAAACGGAAACGGCCTTGAAGACAATGCCTATGATGATGACCTTTTTGGCGAAAACTCATCATCTCCGGTGGAAACTAAAACAGGTATGGGACAGACCCAAACGGGGCATGATCAAGATGGCCTATCAGACTTTGACGACAGCACGTCGCCTCAGGCTCAGCCTGTGCCTCTTCCAGCGTCCCCTTTATCACGCCAAGTAGAAGCTCAGGGGAAGTCTGTCTCGCGGCTAACGACTCTCAGCTCCAAAGAGTCACCGCCATCGAAGGAACTACAGCGCCAACAAGAGCTGCTTGCTATGTCCAGAAATGGCGCCGCGAATACCGATGGCTTACCGCCCCCCCCTGAAAATCGCGAGGAGCTACTGGCATCACTGTGGCCCAAGTTCGAGCGTGACACAATACCGAAGTTCATGGACTTGCTTCCACCAAAACGAGCAAGATACCTTGGCAAGTCCATTTCTAAACCGCCGAAACCAATCACTCCCACCAAAGTCAATCTTGAGCTTGCCCTAGATCAGGAGAAAAGCTTCAAGGTCTCATCGATGCCCAACAAGCCTAACATGGAGGAGACCAGTATCCCGGGAATCGTGACCATACAAGAAGACATCGCTGTTGACAACGACAATGGAGAAGACGTAGACATGGAATCTGACGTCGAACACGAGCTGGTTGGGGGGATTTCGTGGGAAGACTTGCAAGTAATATGCGAGGACTGGGATACTCGTAGTGCGGCAGAATCCCTTGAAACTGAACAAGATTCGTCTCGCAGCCACAAAGCTGGCAAACCCGATAAGTACGAAGACCTGAATCATGATCCTGATCATGGATCCCCATCTGCAAAAGTGAGTACGAGGCAGTATTCAATGGGAGAACATGCTCACATTTAAACATAGCGACGGAAACTAGACCATTTAGAGGCAAACATAATGCACACTCATCAATTCTCATTTCCCTCGTTCCAGGATCCTGAGCAAGCTACTTCAAAGATTGCAAAGACTATCACACTAGACCTTAACGATTCGAGACTCCTGATCGATCATCTCCAGCCCAACGCCATATCTAGAAACGTCTTTGGGCGATCGGATCTCAAGAGAGCAGGGCGTGGAGCATTCACAAAAGGTCTCAGCCAAAGATATAACATCTCCAACGATGACGCATATGACTTACTCAAGGAGAATCACCAAAGCAAGGTTCGAAGCATGCTTGGCAATGTGGCTGTGGAGCACAGTCTACCTGCCATAAGGCTGCAATGGCCATTCGTAAGCATTTCGAACCTACCCTGATCATTTGCTACCCTGTTACTAAAGCTAACATTGCAAAGTACAAAACAAAGTTGGACAAGCATGATGCAAGATCTTTCCATCGACCAGGCTTGAAGGTCAACCGCAACGAACAGGTCGCTTTCAGCAAACCAGCAATCACGAAAAAGAAGCACACGAAGGGAAAAGATACGCAGAAGCTGTTCCCTGACAGCAAAGCTCTATCTTTGGCGGACAACTCGAATGTGCTTCTGTTAGAGTATTCCGAGGAGTACCCAACGATGCTCTCAAACGTTGGCATGGGTACTCGGGTCATCAACTATTACAGAAGAAAGACTATGGACGACACATCAAGGCCCAAGCTAGATGTTGGCGAGACAGCTGTCCTTTTGCCCCAGGACAAGAGCCCTTTCTCTATTTTTGGTCATGTCGACCCCAGCCATATCACCCCAACGCTTCACAATGGCATGTACAGAGCCCCAATCTTCAAGCACACAGCGAGACACAACGACTTCTTAGTAGTGAAAAACACAACCGGAACAGACGGCTCCTCCTGGTACATGAGAAACATCGAAAACCTATACCTAGTCGGCCAGGAGTTTCCGTCGGTAGACGTTCCGGGTCCTCATTCGCGAAAAGTCACCACAGCCTCCAAGAACCGCCTGAAGATGATATCCTACCGCCTGATCCGAAAGAGCAAGAACAACAGGATTAGCGTAGGCGAAGTTACGAGTCATTTCGCCGATACCAGCGATATGCAAAATCGGCAGAAGATGAAAGAGTTTATGCAATTCAACAAAGAGCACAAGGAATGGCAAATGCGGTCTGGGGAAGCGATTCCTGACGAAGAAACGATTAGGACAATGGTGAAGCCGGAAGACGTGTGTCTACTCGAGTCAATGCAGGTGGGTCAGCAGCATCTACAGGACGCAGGTTTCAACAAAGAGGACGACGAGTCTGAGGGTGACGAGTCCAAAGAAGGCCAAAGTATTGAGCAACAACTTGCGCCTTGGTACACGTCGCGGAATTTTCTGCATGCTACGCAGGGTAAAGCTATGTTGACATTGCATGGAGAAGGAGATCCGACACGCCGTGGTGAGGCTTTTAGCTTCATCAAGACCTCTATGAAAGGAGGATTCAAGCCTGTGGGAGCAAGCGCGAATGAGAAAATGAATGCGAGGCAAATGAAAGAGTCTGGTGGCCACGCTTACAACGTTCAAGATCAGCAAAGATCGTACGAAGAATCGATTCGGAAAATATGGGAAGCTCAAAAACAAAGTCTGTCATCGGCAGTCGATCAGTCAGAATCCGACATGGACGAGAATCCGATCGAAGAGGCTTCAAATAGTGCCTTCCGTGCAGAGACTCCACGATCCGAAGCGCAGACGCCTGCCACTTTACGGCGTCGAGATGACGAGACTACCAGTCAATTTACGCAGGCTAGTACCGGCAGCCAAGCAGGGAAGATTCTCAAGATCACACGTCACATTCAAGATGAATACGGCAATGTTGAACCACATACCGAAACTGTACGAGCACCAAAAGTGATACGGCAGTACCTCAAGCGAAGACACGCAAAGGAGGCAGAGACCACAGGGTAAGAGCTATCTGACTGCTATTAGTTGCAAGGCTGACTGTACCAGGCTCACTGATATCAAACCGACCGGAATTGCTGAGCAGGACCGGCGTAACCAACAGAGGTACATCCTTGTTCATGATCGCACGAATTGAAATCCTGATTGCTATTCAGGCTGGAAAAAGAGCTGGCACGACTACAACGCAATAAAGAGCGTCGTATTGCTCGTGACAAGCAGAAAGTGGCCCATTTGGATGGAGCTGCTGATGAACCAGGCTCGCCGTCATCTCCGGCCAACGTACCGGTGAAAAGTGCTGGCACGCAACGCAAGTGCGCAAATTGTGGTCAAGTTGGCCACATCAAAACAAACAAAAAGTACCATTCCCGACTTCTTTATGATGCTCCTTTAAACTGCTCGTTGTCCTCCATGCTTGTTGCTAGCTTGCGTCATTCTATCGAGTTTCTGTGACACTGTGCTGACTGGGATATTATCGGACTCAGGCTTTGTCCCATGCTCAATGGTACGATGAAGCAAGACGAAGGATTTGGCAGTTCCGCGTTCACCATTGGCACCCCCGACTTGTGAAAGCCATGTTGGGTCGATAATGGAGGAGCCAGTGACTAACGTGCTTGCATCTCAAGGCGCCTCGTGTTTTGCTTCGAGAGCGGGCCTTCACATGGCATGGCCCTGTGTTGCATTGCGTAGACGTTGAAAATAGCAAGACAACCGTGTGGATCTGGGCAAGCCCGGGCTTTCCAAGCAGCCCACAATGGAAACATGATTCATCGTGCAAGATCGCAGACATCTCACACGCTCACACAGGGCGATTTGTCAAAGATATTGCTTGCACGATTCATTTGCCCTACTAACACTCAGCTGGAGACTTCCAGTTGCAATATAGCCATACTCTCGTTGATGTAGGAATACGCGGGGTTTCGGTCGCGGCCAATCCCAATTTCTGAATTGAGCCCGGCCTTGCTCGACCAGTTGACAAATAAAGGAAGGGGTCAAAGGGTAGAAAAATATCCCACGCCACCGAGTTCAAGCAGCTCAAGCAGCGGATCAGTCAAAGCTAGGTATCATGCTCCTTGCACCACGCTGCCGTCCACGCTCTTCCTCGAATGAGACAAGCCTGGGCCTGCGGTACGTGTAACCAAGGAAAGCTCCCTTCTTCCGAATTTCGAGGACTTTTCTGCCCAAATCTTTGTCCCTGAGGACCCGATCTCGCGGCCTTTTCTTTTCTTTTACTTTGCCTGCTTCGTCCTTTCTACCGCCAGCCTGGTCTTTCCCAGCGCGAGCAGGGTAAGCAGGGTTCGGGAGAAGATTGTCCTGACCTTGTGCGCCATCAACCTGTGTCATACGAGCTGTGCCGAGAACAGCATCACGCATTTCCTCATCCGAGGCGTCACGCGGGTCAGATTGACTAGCCGCATCATCGACATCGCTGATCGGCTCTTCTTCATCAAAGTATTTGGTATCGTCGCGGCCACTTACATCGGGAACGAAAGGGGGTCTTGTCAAGTGTAGTCGATCCCAGGAGATACGACGAAAGAAAGAATGGGCTTTGATATCAGCCGCATCGTCTGGATAGACATAGTTACCTTTATAGTCTTGCGCATGTGGATCTGCACGTCTTGCTATCAGTTGACCTGGAGTGCGTTTCGAATGCTGGTAATCATTGAGCCGATACTTCTTCGAGCAAAGTCGATGCTCCTTTTCCTGTAAGAGGCTGTTGATGAGCTCCATGGCATCAAAAGACACCTTCTCTTTTCTATCCACCTCTCGCTCGTCAGGAAATATTAATGTTTTCGCGTTGTCCTGCAGCAGTCAGTACCATTCTTCGCAAAGTAGGTCATTATCCGTACTAATATCTTGGCCTTGGTGTCTTCTCTTTTTTCGCAGACAAAAGGTGTGAAGCCGTACAGACACTTTTGCTGGTTTCAGCGCGAACTTTACCCATGATCTCCGATATCTGACTAACCTCGTAAAGTATGATACCAATGCTCCACCAATCACAACGCCCATCATATGGGTCGCCACGGATTACCTCCGGGGCCATGTACTGACTCGTCCCAACTACGCTTCCGGCCAATCTCCGCTTGCCATGGCGATTCCTCCACTGCAGTATTGATTCGTGCTCGCTTGGGCCATCGACCTGTGGCTTTTCGTGCCGTGCTCCCCGGCCCGTGAGAATATCAGCCAAATTGGTCTTGACTTCTTTCAGAGCATCTTCTTCTTTGTCTTGAGAGTCACCCTTGACCTCGATGCCTAGTTTCTCCATCAAGGATTGTCGATGGTTCTTGAAGTACCGTTGGTCGTGTGCCCAATGACCGTCGAACGCAAGGCCAAAATCCGATATTTTTAGGTGACCAGATGCGGATATCAAGAAGTTGTCCGGTTTGACATCTCGATGAATCCATCGGAGTCGGTGAGCTTCTTCAACACAGAGAATCATTTCTGCTATGTACCATCTTGCGTGCCTTTCTTTCAAGATATCCTTGCGAAACAGTAGGCCCAAGAAGTCACCCCCGACCATGTATTCCATTACCAAGTAGAGGTTGGTGCTGTCTTGGAAGCTGGAAACGAGGGGCACAACCCATCTAGACTTCTCAGAAGCAACAAGGAAATCCCGCTCGGCACGCAAATGACCCTCTTGACAGTTCCGGAGCATATCAGATTTACGAATAACCTTCATTGCGTAAACTTCTTTTCGCGGCGTCCTGGAACCCCATCGATGAGAACTTCTCGGGCCGTCTAGAGTGGATTTCAAGGCTTCTATGGCAGTCGCCCTTAAGTTATTCAATTCTTCGCGTGGCGATTGTCTCCAACTGGTCATAGCTGGCACCGGTTGAGGGGCCGAAACTGTGTCAATTTTCTCACGCACAAGTCTAACAACCCCAAAACTGCCTTTCCCAAGGATTCTGACCACTTCGTAGCCGGCAACAGCAACGCCCGAACCCGAGCCTTTGCTTACCTCATTGGTTTTGCTTTTCAATACACGAGTCTGCCGAAGATGCTCACTCTCATGGGCTGCCCATGCGGAACGCTCTTGTTGGCGTTGCTCTTCGGACATTGACTGAGATTCTAGACGAAATTCGAGATCATTCCGTCTCATCGAGCGCGGACTCGTATGACCTGCTAACAATGAATTGAAATGAGTCTCGAAGAAGATCTTGGCATTCGCTGTTGTCTCTACGGTGACCACAGTGGGATTAATGACTGGCGGTGCTTCTTGAATTGGGGTCAGTGGCTTTTCATGTGCGATTTTCTCTGCAGTGGCGAGATTTGCTGTATCACTAGGTCTTTCGTTGCCGTCCGGAGCTTTGGTAGAACGCAAAGAGGCGACGTTTGACTCAAGGGAGGTCTTGCCGGTAGATGGATCACCTACGGATACACTGCCACTATAGTTGTAACTCGAAGGCGCAGTGCTCACCTGAGGGCTAAGCTCCTGGTCACTTTGAGCACCAGGTTCTTGAGGAAGGTCTTCATGCATTGAGAGGAGGCTTGGCCTCGTGCGAAGGTTCGGGCGGTGGATTATTGTAGGGTTTCCAAAAGTGGCAGACAGCTTATGAGAGAGCTGGTGAGCAAAGCCTGAATTAGATTTACTTTTCCGGAGCCCTGGCTCTTTACGCTTGATGTGGGTGTCATCCGGGACCAGATAAGACTGAGCCAGCTTGTACGATGCCCAAGGTTCGTCAGCAACACTCGCTTGGGCTATTTCAGTCTCAATCAAGGGCAAGAGCCGAGTCTGTGACTGGTCTGGCAGCATAGGAGTAGGAATTCTCTTGCCAGAAGGTGACTCCGACAGGCCCAGAGGACTAAGGTTTTGGCTACGAGCTGCCGTCGAGGTCGAGGAAGTTGCAGCATTCTTGACGATAGTCAGAGCAACCTCTCGCTCACTTGGGTGAAGTGACGAGTGCTTGGTATTCCGCATGTCTGACCGCGTTTAGTGGGTATCTTAGAAGCTCAACCAGAGAAGAGCACATACCACTGCTCCTCTGTAAGCCTACGATGGAAAGGAACCTCGAGCCATGGCGTCGCATCCTCTCTGCCATTCCCGATCGCTCGTCGCCGTCTTCCATGCTACATCCATCCAAAGATGTCTCGTTGATAGCGAATCGATCGGCAGCGCCGTCGTGGTTATCGAGCATCGACTGATCGACAACAAGAACCTTTTTGGGCTGACTGGAAGCAATAAGGCTTTTGGAGCTCCAGTGCCATTTTCTTTTGGTATCCCCTTTCATGCCGGCGTTCTTTATTGATTACTTTGACGTCGAGTTGTGACAACTCAGCATAACAATGCACCTGAAAGAGAATGTTCGGAAGCTATGAAATGCTGACTAGAGGCTGTGGGAAAAGTTATGTGGACTATGATTGTTATCAGGACGCTTGAATACGAGTGGGAAGGATCGGGCGACAGAGGCATTCAAAAAGAAGAAAGTGCAACACGACGCTGAATTGGACCTGATGAACTCTGCAGAGAAGGAGCGAACACATTTACAATTTGTCAAAGCAATTCAGATCTCCTCGACTTTACATCAACTGAGAACATCCACGGGAAATCAGACCGAATTGAATTCTGTACAAATATGGATTGAGAAATCTCATAACTCTATAGGGGAGGTTTCTCAAGCCCATTGGGAGCGGTGGTCGACGAAACATCCCGCTTGGCCGCGCTGGAGAATTGTGAACTTTCCTCTGAGGTCTGTCGCTTGCCAGTCGCTGTTAGCGCTTCGGTCTCTGAGTTGTCTCTCGTGATAGGCTTTTCAAGAAGGGGGAAAGCCTCATTTGACGGCTTGCTTTCCTCTTCGATTAGCGCTAATTGTTGTCGAAGTCGTGCTGTATGATCGTCGGAGATCTTCAAAGATTGGTCAACCTCTCGCGTTAGATTAGTGATTTGATCGTCGAGCAATTCATCATTATCCCGTTGTGCTATTCTGTGATCCCCACCAGTGGTTGGCTTCTCCTGATTCGTGCCCTCCCAGAGCGCCTCGAGATCCTTCTCCCAGCCTAAGGCTGCTGCAAGTCTCCGCACTCCAGCGTCACAACCTCCAAGGAGAAGGACATCGTCTGGCCGAGAGCCTAGCCCACCAACGCGCTCGAGATTGATGAGGACTCTTGGCACACCTTCCGAACAAAAGCCTGGCAAGCTAGCAAAAGGCAGCACTGTCAAACTAGTCCCAATGACAATGCACAGATCAGCGCAGCTGGGAAGCGACCGGTTCCGATGGAATTCTTCTGGCAACTGCTCACCGAAAAATACGATATCGGGCTTGACCAGACCATTACACTGAGGTGTAAGACAATGAGGAATATCACGTTTGCTCACTGCCTGCCTCATGAGATCGTCTGAGAAGGACGATTTGCATTCTATGCAGTGGTTATGAGCGAAGCTGCCATGAGCTTCTACGATTTTGTCTTCTGGCACACCGGCTTCCCGGTCAAGGCAGTCGATATTCTGGGTGAACAGTTTCAGCAAGAGGCCTTTATCCGAAAGCAACCGGACAAAGGAATGTGAGACGGTTGGCCTGTATTTGCCGGGATACATTTCGTGGGCGAGCGTGTAAAAGGGTAGTGGGTTGTTTCTGAAAAATGATATGTCAAAGACAGCCTCCGGATAGGGCAAATCGAGTCGCGCGAGATTGGCGTAGAGGCCGGTATCTGGGGATCGAAAATCTGGGATACCGGCAGATGTGCTGATGCCAGCCCCAGCCTGTCAAATCGACGTGACATTTTGTTAGACCCGAATTCAACAGCTCTATATCCCCTTAACTCTTGTCAAGAAAATCCCTCCCCGAAAACTCACCATGACCACTATCTTCTTGGCATGTCCTTCTTTGATGTACGTGGCAACCGAGTCCACCGACCTCTCTTTGAGAGTTTGGGGTGGCGTGCTGTCATTGATGGGGGAAGACTGCTCTTGTCCCATCCTGAATGGACGTTGTCGGCCTTGGCCAGGCTTTGAATGCCTTTCTCTTCTCCGACGACCTATATTTGCGGTGCAGTAAAAGGCAGATATATGATAAATTTATTTTAACCGTCGATAATTCTACTAATTGATGACCCGGCTAGTGGTGGAGTATTTCAAGTTGCATTGTATCTTAGAGTACTCAGTGTTCCGAATCAATGCGGAAGACGTCATTTTGCCTAGCACTTTGATTTCATTACGCGTCGGTAATACGAGTATTCTAGAGTACGGAGGTCTGCACCAAAAGTTCTGCACCCGCGCTAGTGATAGCTCTAACCCTAACTTCGGAAGGCGACCCTGCAGTGGGAACCCTAGAACTAGCTTTTCGGGAGCGCATACGTTGAACATTTAGGGATCTTTGTAGGCGCTATGGGGTCCTTGAGCCCCAGAGTAGGCTGAGGTCAGTGCAATTGCGACACAATTCTAAGGGCATTGTCCAGGCAACCCTTGAGGTGGGGCGATATCCGACATCTGGGCCCTTTGCTTGGCAGGGTGGAGGACTTTTGGTGCAGACCTCCGTAGGGCTGATCGTACTGTAATTTTGAGTTCCTACGGAGAAGCTTCTTCTGCCTACCTTACTATTTCTGCTAGTATATCACAATAGTCCTACGAACAGTTCATCCAACGAAGGATGGTATTCATAACCGCAAATCTTTTCCTCTTAGGAGATACCGAAGGTTGTGCGTCTCGCTGTTGCTAAGATGCGGAACACGAACGGGCTTTCTAGACATCGTCTCCCAGGTCAATTGCAAGACGAGCATGACAAGGATGTCATATCATCAAGCGCAGATGTTTATCAAGGGAAGTCGATCGCTGAGATTAGGGCAAGCCTTTCTCATCTGAGCGAGCAGGAGGCTTCCGTGACAGCTCGTCTCAATAATCTCATAACTTTCCAAAAAGATCTCTCACGCGAACTTGGTCGCTTGGACCTTCTGCGTGCCCAGGTTGGATCTCAGGCAGTGGCGACGAGATCAATCAGTATCGGCATTTTGTCCGGTGCTGCCTCTACTGCGACGCGTATTTCCGGTGCCGTAAAGCGACTTGACCTTGAGCAAGCCCGGGTGCGGAGTACTCTGAATGTTGTAGAACAAGTCGCTGAGCTCAAGGCATGTGTCTTGGGGGTGACTGGGTCCATGGGAGCTCCTCAAGATTGGGAAACAGCTGCTGGGTATCTCAGTCGTGCCTCCAAGATTCCAAAAGAGATTGTGAACGGGTCTTTCGCCGAAGAGATCGTGCCCACTGCCGAAGTCCCGGACCCCCCCAATGTGACCTTGGACCATGCTGCAGAATCACTGCGTGGCCTTTTCCTCCGCGAGTTTGAGAAAGCCGCGCAAGAAGGCAACGGGGCCAAAGTCACTCGCTTCTTTAAGTTGTTCCCTCTCATCGGAAAACCCGAGGTTGGCCTTGATGTCTATGGTCGATATGTCTGTCAAGGAGTTGCATCCCGTGCACGTGCCAATCTGAACGCCGGCACGGAGGGAAATCAGCGACGGGAAGGCTTCTTCTATGCCAATGCCTTGACAAAATTGTTTGAGCATATTGCACAGATCGTGGAGCACCATGGGGGACTCGTGGAGCGCCACTATGGTGCCGGACGAATGGTGAAGGTCATCGAGCGCTTACAGCTGGAGGCCGATGTCCAAGGTGGCATTGTTCTAGATACTTGGAGCGATGAACGAAATGTGGACCGCAAGCTCACCGACATCAGATCTTACGCATTTACGTTTCTGGTGCAAAGCTTTCTCCCGGCGCAGCCAGCGAGAAGTGGCACCCCTCGTGCTGGGTCTCCTGCCATCAGAGGCTCAGTGGCAGAGTCACAGGCCCGTGAAGACGAAGGGGTGGATATGAAGGAGGTTGATGGCGTCCTAAGCGAAATCGCCGTAATGCTAGGGCGATGGTCACTTTACTCTAGTTTCGTAGCCGCTAAGTGCAAGGTAGACAGATGATGTTTCACGGAGACCGAAACAGGCACTGACGTGAACAGGAATCTTCCTCAGAACCTGAGGGTGTTAATCAGGATTTGTTGGTGCCACCATTACTAGCCAATTCGAGCTTGAACAGAAAGGTCGCCGATAGACTAGCTACGCCTTTTAATGTCATGACAACTTTCTTCTTCCGGAGATCAGTTGAGAAAGCATTCCAATTAGACGAGCAGCCGTCAGATCTCTCTCTAAATTTCAAGCAATCTCTACCCTCAAATCCACCTTACATCACTTCAGCTGTCGATGATGTGATGTACATTGTCAACCAAGTCGTTGAAAGGTCTCTTGCAACATCCCAAAAAGACGTAATTTCGAGCGTCATCCCTACTCTAGCGAGAGTGCTTGGCTCCGACTTCATTGGTATGATTCAAAGAAAGATGCGAGACGAGAGTTACCCAAAAATCACGGTCCAAGGTGCCCCACCTGGGGAGCAAACGATCATATCGTTTTTAGTCCTCATCAACAACCTGGATGTTGCTACAGACTATGTGAAGCGAATAGTCCAATCTCGTGTTGAGACAGTACCCGCTGCAACCTCGGCAAACGGTGGCGGAGGTGTCTCATCCAGATCGCTGACGGCTCTATTTCCTCTGGATCATGATGCTATGATGGTAGGCAATGCGCTGAAATCCTTGCAGAATAGCTTTGAAGGCAAGACGTCAGAGCTGATCAGCGACGGAATATTTGTGGTTTTCAAGAATGTAATGAAGCCCCGTCTTCGCCCGATTCTCGCTGATGCGTTCCGCGATGTTGACTACCGAATAAGCCAGGAGGAGCTCGAGGAGATGCATCGAGATGCAGAGATCGATGATGGAAACGGAAGTCCGTCCGACAAGGTAGTACAACACCACTTCCAAAGGGGCTGGGAGATCTTGACAAAGCCTGTGATGAGATTACTTACGGAACGAAATTACGAAAGGCTTCTGGCAACGGTCATCTCATATCTTGGTGAAGTGCTGGAGAAGCGAATCTGGAGCTACTATGGACGTCTCGATGATCTTGGAGCGGTACGACTAGAGCGAGACATTGCAAGTATCGTCAGTATAGTTGTCAGTGGTGGTCGATATGGATTACGGGACGCCTTTGCAAGGTGTACACAGATCTGCCTTGTTATGAACATGGAGAACGATGAGTGGGAGGAGCTGCAAGCTGTATCCACGGCAGGCGCAGAAGAGGAGGGCGTCGAGTGGAAGATCGACAT